GTAGCATGTCAACAACGACTGTAGTATAACTGCTGTAGTATATCTATAACAGCTGTAGTATATCTATAACGTCTGTAGCATGTCTAAAACGGCTGTAGCATATCTATAACGGCTGTAGTATATCTATAACAGCTGTAGACTATAACAGTTGTAGCATTTCTATAACGGCTGTAACATATCTATAACAGCTGTAGCATATCTAAAATAGCTGTAGCATATCTATAACAGCTGTAGCATATCTATAACAGCTGTAATATATCTATAACAGCAGATTAGGATTGGAACAACTGAAACAGTGCAGCTGGTGACAAGTCTTCTGAAAAGACCAGAGACTACGTATCATCAACTCTGTCAGAGCCTGAGTGACAAGGAAGAAATCCTTAAGGATATATAGATAACATTAGCTCTTAGGTAGCATTGTTTATGTAATATTCTAGGCAGCAATGAAATGTAAGTTTTAAACCTATGACTCAGAATGCGCCAAACACACTGCCATCGAATTGATGCTGACTCATAGCGACTCTATAGGACAAGACAGCACTGCCCCTGTGAGTTTCAAGACTGTAACTGTTTATGGGAGTAGAAAGTCCTGTCTTTCTTCTGAAGAGGGGCTGGTGGTTCGAACTGCTGACCTTGTAGTTAGTAGCTCAATGTGTAAACCTTTATGGCACCTGTTAAAAAAAGGGTGGTGATGTTACCCAAAGGGGACGGGGTATTGTTTATATCTCCATAGGGAAAGAGGGACCAGACTTCAACCCAGTGCTCCAAGATGTGAATGCAACATGCTGGCATGAATCAGGGAACTAATAGAGAGGTCTGAGGGGCTGGACTCAACTCGCAACTACATGGACAGTTCCCCCCACACCCCTCCAACAGAAGAATTTACTTCAGAAGACAGCACTGAAGCTACAGCTCAGGGAGAGGAACATGTGTGATCAGAGCACACAAGAGCAAATGAAGGGGGAACAAATGAAGGGGGAGGAAGAGAGACTGGAGCACATCCTGGCCCACCAAGCCTTGAGGACGATATCCCTGCTCAGAGCAGCCAATGCACAGAGAGGACCATAGGGCCGGCCCCACTACGAGACACGACATCCCTCACTGACCCATAGCCCCTATGGAGGACAACACTGGAGACAGTGCGGGAATTGCTCCCGATCTGATCCCACTACACGATCTGACCCCACTACACCAAGGCAAAACACTAAGGTTGTGCAACAGAACAGCAAGGGGAGCAGAGCAAGGATATCCAGAGGGAATACCAAAAATAGACTTTGGGGCCATGGCGTAACTCCCCATCAGATTCTACTGAAAAACACTCCTAAAGGTCAATGAACAGACCTTGAACTATTTACAGACTTTTTTTTTGGGGTCATTGGTATGTTGTTGTTGTTGTTTTGTTTTCTTTTGCTCTGTCTTGTTTTTTGCGCATATTATTATCTCTGCAGGTCTATCTAGATAAGATAGGCGGGATAAACAAGCTGGAGGAGAAAACAACGGGGCAGACAGTTCTGGGGGGACATGGGAGAGGGGGAGGTGGCGGAAAGGAAGTGGTGTTAACAACCCAGGGACAAGGGAACAAGTGATCCAAAATCAGTGGCCAGGCGTGTATAAGAGGCCTGGTAGGGCTTGATCAAGGGCAATATAAACGAGAGGAATTACTGAAACCAAAATGAAGGCTGAGCATGATAGTGGGACAAGAGGAAAGTAAAAGGAAATAGAGGAAAGAACTAGGAGGCAAAGGCCATTTATAGAGGTTTATATACAGGCATGTACATAGGTAGATATATTTATATATGATAATGGGGAAATTGATCTATGAGCCTATATTTATAGGTTTAGTATTAATGTAGCAGATGGACTTTGGGCCTCCACTCAAGTACTCCCTCAATGCAAGAATACTTTGTTCTATTAAATTGGCATTCCATGATGCTCACTTTCCCGACCTGATCGCTGAAGACAAAGTAGGTACATAAGCAAATGTGGTGAAGAAAGCTGATGGTGCCCGGCTATCAAAAGACATAGCGAATGGGGTCTTAAAGGCTTGAAGATAAACAAGTGGCCATCTAACTCAGAAGCAACAAAGCCCACATGGAAGCACACCAGCCTGTGTGATCACGAGGTGTCGAAGGGATCAGGTATCAGGCATCAAGGAACAAAAAATCATATCATTGTGAATGAGGGGAGTGTGGAGTGGGGACCCAAAGCTCATCTGTAGGCAACTGGACATCCCCCTATGGAAGGGTCGTCGGGAGGAGACGAGCCATTCTGGGTGCAGTGTAACAACAATGAAACACAACTTTCTTCTAGTTCTTTAATGCTTCCTCCCCCCCACTATCATAATCCCACTTCCACCTTACAAATCTGGCTAGACCAAAGTATGTACACTGGTACAAATAAGAATTGGTAACAGATAAACCCCTCAGGACCAATAATGAGAGTAGTGATACCAGGAGGATAAGGGGAAGGTGGGGTACAAAGGGGAACCAATCACAAGGATCCACATATAACCCACTTTCTGGGGGATGGACAACAGAAAAGTGGGTGAAGGGAGACCTCAGACATTTTAAGACCTGACAAAATAATAATCATCTATAAATTATCAAGGGTTTGAGAAGGGGAGTGGTGGGGAGGGAAGGGAAAAATGAGGAACTGATACCAAGGGCTCAAGTAAACGAAAATGATGATGGCAACAAATGGACAAATGTGCTTGACACAATGGATGGATTGTAATGAGTTGTATGAGCCCCCAATAAAATGATTAAAAAAGAAAATATTTTGAGAATGATGATGGCAACAAATGTACAAATGTGCTTGACACAATGGATGGATGTATGGATTGACATAGGAGTTGTACGAGCCCCCAGTAAAATGATTTTAAAAAGAAAAAAACGGTAGTGATATTGTTGACAATGATAACAGTAGCTACTCTAATATTCAACATTCTAAGAAATAAATTTCTTCTTTCTTTTTGGTTTTGTTTTGTGCTATGAAGCCCTCATGGTGAAGTGGTCACACTTTGTGCTACAATCCACAAAGTAGGCAGTTCAAAACTACCAGCTGCTCTGAAGGAGAAAGACCAGTCTCTACTCCAGTAAAGAGTTACGCTCTTGGAAACCCTCAGGGGCGATCGGAACCCTGTCAGCATGGACTTGATGGCAGCGAGGTTATTTTGGTTTGTGGTCTAATGGAGCCCTGGTGGTGTTGTGAGTCAGGCATTAGAGTACTAACCACAAAGCTGGCAATTCGAACGCACCAGCCATTCTGCAGCAGCAATATGGGCTGGCTACTCTCACATTCTTGGAAACTCTTAAGGAACAGTTGTGCTCTGTTCTACAGGGTCACCCGGAGTCAGAATAGACTTAAGAGCAGTGAGTGGTATGTGATTTTATGGTTTAAGGGCTGTCAATCAAATAGATAATACTACCGTATATACTCGAGCATAAGCCGAGGCACCTAATTTTTACCACAAAAAACTGGGGGGCTTTTTCAGCCTAAAAAAATGTGCTCACATGATAAAAATACAACTTTCCTCTAGTTTTTTAATGCTTCCTCCCCCCAGCTATCATGATCTCAAATCTACCTTAGAAATCTGGCTAGACCAGAGGATGTACACTGGTACAGATAAGAGTTGGAAATACAGGGAATCCAGGACAGATGAACCCTTCAGGACCAGTGGTGAGAGTGGCGATACCAGGAGGGTAAGGGGAAGCTGGGGTAGAAAGGGGGAACCGATCACAAGGATCTACATATAACCCCCTCCCTCGGGGATGGACAACAGAAAAGTGGGTGAAGGGAGATGTCGGACATTGTAAGACATGACAAAATAATAATACTTTATAAATTATCAAGGCTTCGTGAGGGAGGGATGGTGGAGAGGGAGGGGGAAAATGAGGAGCTGATACCAAGGGCTCAAGTAGAAAGAAAATGTTTTGAGAATGATGATGGCAACAAATGTACAAACGTCCTTGACACAGTGGATGTATGTATGGATTGTGATAAGTGTTGTATGAGCCCCCAATAAAATGATTTAAAAAAATGTGCTGAAAAACTCAGCTTATACTCGAGTATATATGGTAATTTATGGGGATTTTTTTTTGAACTGTATGTAATCATTTATATGAAAAGCAGAGACAAACATGGGATAAAGAGCTAGCTTGCATATAGGAAATAAGACAAAACCTAGGATCCTCATTTGAATCTTTATTCAACAGCAGTGCTGACAAGAAGCTACTGCCAGACATCATTAGAGAGAGAAGGCTGCCTTGGTTCTTTCTGTCTAGCCCACTGCCAGTGAGACACGTTCTCACAGGGACCCTCGAGGGCAGAGTAGGGCTGACTGCCCCATAAGATTCCCAAGGTGGCACATCTTTAATGAAGCCTCTGGATGGTCTGGTGGGTTCAAACTCTGAGGTTTCAATTAGCAGCTGAGTGTTTTGGCCCCTCCATCACCAGGGTACTTTTCCACATCTCCCAGGGCAGTATCTTATCAGAAAGGAGGCAATGCATGACAAAGCTTTTACTATCATGGGATTCTACGAATCAGAGCAACATTCCGCACCAAAACATTAGCTTCCTGGGATCTACAGTTGTTTTGGAGTGCTGTGAAAATCACAGAACTACATCTACTATTTTTTCACAAGGATAAAAAACATTCCCACCTTCCCAGCAAATCAGAAAATAGCCACAGGGAGAAAAGTGGATGGAATGTCCCTTTTAACATGTAGTTTAAACATTCTAAAAGTGTAACATAAACTTACATTAATGCTACTTTATCAGTAACCACAGATTAAGCACTCAGGACTCTGAAAGAAACCCACTACTGTACAAAGTACTTGCATTAAAAAAAAAAATCAGACAAATGTGCTTAATCCAGTAACTGCCTTGGGAAATAGAAACTAAAGCTGACACTCCTTCTTACTGAAAGCAATCAAAAAGCAGTTAGAAAATTGAGAAGACAAAAAAAAAAAAAAGCTGAAAGATGTTGGTGTGGCACGCACCTTCTGCATCATCACGCATTTGCTCCACCAAATCTGTCAAATCCTCCCAAGAGTCTTTGCAAACGGCAAAAAGAAAGGAAAAGAAAGATAAAATGTCATGCAAGCCAAGAAAGAAAAGACCTATTAAAAACAGGTTTCAAAAGAAGTAACAGAAAGGGGGGAGCCTAGAACATAGAACTCTTTGTGCTTAGTCCGTAAATTTACAGTGAAAAGGGCTGATTATTTACCCAAGGAGGAACAGGGCACCACGCAGAGATGTCTCAAAACTACTGTTAGTAATTTCATGGTTTCAAACAAAAGGAAACACAGATGCACACATAGAAAAAAAATATTTTTTTCCTCCTACAGAAAACCAAAATTAGGCTGTATTCTAAGCATACTAATCTTTATTGAGATTTATTTTGATCATTTCAGTGAAGCTGACAGCCATGTCTGGAATATTTAAAATCAAGGCAAATATCACGATACACACTAGTGACTTTTCATGAAATCATAAAATATGTAAACACCTTTCCTGTCCCTCCTGCTCTGCCAATTCTCCTTCCCAGAAATTAAAAATAAAGGGAAATATACTTCTTCAAAGATAAGATAGATCAGCTAAAATTCAATCAAGTCAAGTGTTTAGTCCTTGGGATTTACTGAATTATAACTGATTACAGAAAGTACTACAAGTGTAGTTCTGCCTCTTACTATAAATTCAATGTTCTGGCACACTGAATTTGACATGTGAGGCAAAAGGTCAGGAAAGAATGCAAAAGTTATGAACAACAGATATTCCTATTTCCATCTCTTTTTTTTTATTTTAATTTTTTAACATTTTATTAGGGGCTCATACAACTGTTATCCCAATCCATACACACATCAATTGTGTAAAGCGCATTTGTACATCGTTTCTCAAAACATTTTCTCTCCACTTAAACCCCCGACATTAGGTCCTCATTTTTCCCCTCCCTCCCCGCTCCCCTCTCCCTCATCAGCCCTTGATAGTTTATAAATGGGTATTTTGTCATATCTTGCCCTGTCCGACGTTTCCCTTCACCCACTTTTCGGTTGTCCGTCCCCCAGGGAGGAGGTCACACACAGTTCCATGTAATCGGTTCCCTCTTTCCTACCCATTCTCCCTTTACCCTCCCTGTTTTGCCACTCACACCACTGGTCCTATAGGGCTCATCCGTCCTGGATTCCCTGTATTTTCAGTTCCTATCTGTACCAGTGTACCTCCTCTGGTCTAGCCAGACTTGCAAGATCGAATTCGAGTCATGGTAGTGGGAGCGGGGAGGAAACATTTAGGAACTAGAGGAAAGTTGTATTTCTTATCATTGTTACATCGCACCCTGACTGGCTCATCTCCTCCCCGAGACCCCTCTGCAAGGGGATCTCCAGTGGCCTACTAATGGGCTTTGGATCTCCACTCCACACTCCCCCCATCATTCACTATGGTAAGATTTTTTGTTCTGATGATGCATCTCTTAAAGATACAGATACAAATCTAACCTGTAATAGATTTTGAGAACCCATGAAAAGTTAAAAAAAAAAAAAAAAAGCCTTAACCTCCAGTAACTCAAGCTATAACTTTACACAACTAAACAGTTCACACTTACTTTCACAAAGCTATGTGATGTTCTGGGGAAGATGAGACTGTCTACTCATAAAGTGACAGTCTTTGGAACACACAGGGGCAGTTCTACCCTGCCCTAGACGTGTTTGTGAGTCGGACTGACAGGGCAGCGAGTTTTAAAGCATTCTCTAATGTGATGGTCACATGTGAAAATTGCTACTGAATACAGGGAGGTTCTTAAAAAATGACTAACAAAAAAAGAACAAGGGCAAAGAACATTGCCCGGGATATTCTTCTGTCTTGAAAAATATGTAACAGAGGGTATAATAGGATGTGAAGTGATTAATAACTTGGACTCATCATCTAGGAAAATAATTTGTCTTCTGTCCTAATCCCACTCATTGATGAAGCTGTCTGATGTGACACAGTGATTTACAAGCTGGCTGTACGGGTGCACACTACACAAATGGTGTTGTGAGGTGCCCTCGAGTTGGCTCTGACCCATAGCAACCCTATGCACAACAGAATGAAATTCACAAAGAAATTCAAATACATAAAAAGTTAAATATAGAACACAAGGAAGCGTTAAGGATTCAGCAGTGTTATGTACAATTTTGAAAACTGGATGGACATCCATTTTCTCTGGTTGGCTCAGCCCTGAGGACGAGGAACCCAAACCTGCCCTGCTGCCGTCCAGTCTCCTCAGCTCCTGGCGCTCCCGCAGGACCGAGTGGAACTGCCCCGCGGGGGTTCTCAGACTGTGACCTTTACTGGCAGACTGCCACGTCTTCTCCCAGGGGCGCTCTGGGTGGGTTTAAATGGAGCCAGCAGGACTGCAGGATGAGGGTCAGTACGACAAAAGGAAAGCAGGCTCTCCTTAAAATTACCCAGTTAAAATACGATGCACAAGAGGACATGCAACATGGAAACCAGGATTAGATCCCTAACTCCTATAAAAATCCCAAACAAATCACTTTATAAACAGAGGTAGGAGACTATGGGAGTTGAGCGAGCAGACCGAGGTGTTAGAAAATTTAGGCTCCATCCAGTGCCACCCCTTTACCAGCTGTACGACCATGGGCCAATTATGACATTTCTTTTGCTCAAATTCATCACCTGCAAGAGGGGGCTGAAGACAGTACCTACTGTACAGCACTGCTGTGAAGAAGAAAGGAGGGAAGGCAGATCCGAAACGTGTTATCTGAATTTTTCCCAAACAAATTTTTTAAAAATTGAGAAAAAAAAAAAGGTAACATGGTACATATATAAATATTATGTATTTCCTAGTAGGGTCTGAGACAGCACCCCATAATCCAGCATATTAATATTCCTGTAGGGAAATAATGAATATTCAGATCAAATTGGATATGTATGTAAATAAGTTAATAAGAAATAAATAACTTCAAGTCTGTTTAGGTTAGGTTTTACCACCAACTGAGTTCAGGGAAATTTATGAAAAATGTTGTGCTTTCAGGTCTTTTCGAAATTTTCACATTGAAGACCTGTATATATGAAGTATCTCACACAGAAAAGTAAGGGTTAAATAAAAAAGCCAAAAACCAAACTCACTGCCCTTGTGTCTATTATGACTGGTGGTGACCTTCAAGGACAGGACAGAACTGTCCCTCTGCGCTTTTATGACCATTACTCTTTATGAGGGTAGAAAGCCCTGTCTTTCTCCTGCAGGGCACCTGGTGGATTCAAACTGCTGACCTTGTGGTTAGCAACCCAATGCAAAGTCACCACACCACCAGGGCTCCTAATCTTGGGGTTGGCCACTGTTACTTTACAGTAAACTATTGCTCAAATGCATCATCTGCAGATCTGTTTACAGTGCCACTTGGTTACAACAGAGTCATCGAGTTTCACACATCATGTAGGATGATACAAGAGATGGCTTGTACTCTTCAATAGTGTTAGGCAGTTCTATAGACTTGTTAAGTAAACTTCAGGAAGTTTATTTTCGTTGGCTAGAAAGTATTTATTAAAAAATAAACTAAAGGCTTCCCTTATTAAAGAGTGAAATGTAAAAATCTTCCAAGATTTGGCAGAGAAGAGCTCTGGAAGGTGTGGGTACAAGGACGGATCCTCTATGTATGTCCCGTCTAGAGCACTTTTCTGTCCTACAAGACGTCGTTGACAGCAGTCAGTTTGGTGTTTTGGAGTTAGTTACACAGATCACAGTGATGAATTTAATTGAATAGATTGCTCCTCCCATGAAAGACAAAGGTTATGTATTTTGTGTTTTTTTAAATTAAAGTTTTTCTCTATTTCCCTCAGCATGATTAACATTTTGTTGTAACAAAGAATGGGTACCATGGCACCGTTTTATAACCCAAGAGCGATCTGTAAAAGCTGTTTTAAAATGTGCCTGCGGCCACTCACAGGGCAGCTCTACCCCGTTCTATTGGGGTCACCGTTAGTACCCCTCGATGGCTCATGGTTTGAGTTCTTGTTTTCTGAAGTAATGTCAAAGTCTTTGAGAAGAAAAGGTCTTGTTATATCTATTTTACCAAAATAAGAATAAATAAACAAAAAATGTATCATACATTAGTCAAAGAGGTGGAAGGTGGCAGGGACAAGTCTTGCCTCTTTCCCAACACATTAACAGTATCTGGCCCTTAATGTGTTTTCTCTGGACTAACATATTTGCTGCAGAGCATATTAAAAACAAAAATATCAGAAAAACCACATTAAGTTATCAATACTTGACCAATTCATAAATACTGAGAACCAATGATGATCAAGCAATGGCGTTTGCAAAGAGGAAGTATTCATGCCTAATTCCTTTGAGGAAACATATAACTGTGACACACAATAAAAAGAAGTTGTGATACGACAGGTTTATAGCTCATAGTCCTAAATCTGGTGAGTAACTAGGTGAGTCTGGGATATCAGGAAGGGCAAGGCCTGATGGGAAGTGAGGGGATGAGAAAAAGAGTTCCCCAATCAGTGCTCTTCTGACCTCTTCTTGCCTGAAGGTCTGCACTGACCGAATTTGGACCTCCGACCCATCTCAGCTACGACGCTGCTACCACTCATGATTATCCTGGTGACCCTTTGGGGCACAGTTCAAAAGCCCTTTTGAATTTTCAAAGCTGTAAATCTTTACTGGAGCAGAAAGCCCCATTTTTCATCAATGGTGGGTTTGAATTACTGACCTTGAGGTTGGCTGACTACATCACTGCCATAGAGTCAATGCCAACACATAGTGACCTAATAGGACAGGGAAGAGCGGCCCCTTTGGGTTTTCAGACTAACTCGTTCCGGGAGCAGAAAGCCCCATCTTTCTCCCTGGCAGCCCATACACACCCTGCTTTAAGGCTCGAGAAGAAAAAGGAATGAACAAACAAATGAAGGAAAGAAGCAAAGAACAAATCCTAGAAGTCTTTTTCTCCCAGAAAACAAACGCTAGCAATCTTAGAAAAGTCAGAAATTTCTCATTGCATAGTTAAAAGTCATATGAGCCTGAATGAACTCGAAGATGGTGGTGAGT